TCTAAAACCTGCAGGACAGCGGCCCTTGAGGACCGACTTTGCATTAGACCTAAACCTAGCTGTTATTAAAACAGGTTGTGAGGACCAGACAGATGTCCTCACTTTATAACAACTGATAGTTGTCTATTAGATGGTGAAATCAGAAAAAAATGGTCCTGACTTCAATGCCCACAGAGGTGCACACACACATCATTTGAAACCTGAACCAAATAAATTCATGAACTGGGACGTTTACTGGTAGCAAGGTTTTAGCAAATTTCACCAGATCACTCTACAAAAACCATGAAATATGCCTTTATGTCTTTTTAAGACGTTACGTCTCTGGAGGACTCATTTCATTGTCTTTAAAATCTAGATAATTAAATGTGTATAAATTTCCACCTATATCTATCAAAAGAGTGACAGCTGTGCTATGGCTCCTCAATCTTGGCAAGTAATAGTGTAGTATTAATAGTTGTTTTATCTGGTTGCTGTAACATACATTAAGGAACAGCTAAGGGATGAATAAAACAATCGAATGGGAATATCTGGTAAAACCAAATAGTCCTTTTTATTGTCCCTAATATCATTTGATAATTTTGCTGCCATTACGGGTTGTTCTAGAACACGTGTCAAACACAAGGGGATAAAGTGGAGCCATATGTTCTTTTAAAGTACTGTATAAAGTGGATTAAACTGCAAAAAAAGGGGAATAGTCAAAAGTCATTGTTTTCATGAATAAAATGATGAAATCAAAGTTCAATTTATACAGCTACAACTGGCCTATTTAAAGACTTGACAATTCCAGTGGGACAATGTTAAAATTAGTTTGACACCTTTGTTCTGGACCAATAATATTAGAATTTTGTGTAAGACTATCCATATCTATTCTACACTAAATACGAAATTGAATAAATATGAAAATTAACTGTAAAACTACTGTTTAAAGATTATAATTAAAATTAAGAGATAAGTGAACTTTATCAATTTAAATAAGATTAACAAAATATCATTGCAGGCACAAGGTCAGGGTTTGTGCCTGCAATGACCCTGTGAGGTCCCCATTAGGGGGTTGTGCACGCCTAGCCTCACACCTCTGGGCTCTCATGCATGTCCACCTCGGGTATGACGAGCCACAGCTGGAGCCCATGGGCTCGTTACTGCGGTCCTGTGGGACCTAGGCAATGTGGCCTGTCGGGCCCCTCAGGAATTGGGCTCCTTTCAGGCTCCGGGTGTTCTTTTTGACCATTCTCTGGTGGGTGCGGCCATGCGTATGTCTGCCCTCTTTTTGTTCCCAGTGATTCCGTCTCTTTATCGATCCTGGGCCCTGTAGGGCGAGACTGGGGCCACCCACACCTGCTATTAAGCATATAATCCTTCATACAAGACTCTACCCGTGCATACATACCTGTGGTATGTATGCATTAGTTTGGTTTGGTTCCAGGTGTTCATGGATACACACTAATACAAAATACTAAGCTAAAGCTACAGATACATACCAACCTGAAAAATATTGTGTAATCACCATAAGTACTGGCTTCCACACACATGGATATCTAAGGGATCTTAGATCTTAGGTCTTGAATTTTTTTGTTTATATTTAATTGGTTCTCTGATGTCTTCTTTTTGCTGTTTTTATGTTCTTTGTTTTCTTTCCCATTCGTCTCATAAAGGTGTGAAAGCAGACATCTAGGAGTTACGGCATATCTTCTGCTTTGTCTATTTATTTTGTTTTGGTTTCTCTCTTTTCATGATCTCTTACCAGTCTCTATCTCTTTCTCTCTCCCCTTAGTTGTTACACCCTTTTTTTTCTCACCTCCCTTTCCAAGTGTCTTTTTTTATTCGATTTTACTTTTATTCAATTTCACTCCCAAAATACTTTTCAATAGAGTTTCAAATACAAGTACCAAGCAGAACCTTATGAAAACAGTCATAATGGTGAAAGTAAATGTGCTTGGCTATCCTCTGACTCAGGACAGGCACAAAAAGAAAGAAAAAAAATGTGTGCACTTGCTGCAGCTGTTCATTGTTTTTAAGTCTCATCAGAGAGGAGGATTTCTTTACATTAAGCCGTCACTGTCAAGTCTGGGTATCTTCCTGACATATACCCTTTTTCAAAAAAGAAAAAAAAAAGAGGAAAGGACTTGAAAAGGTTTTCCTTTCACCTTTCATAGTGCAATCATCCACTGTCACAGGAAACTTTAAATCTGCAGCTCAACCAAAGGAATTTAGGATTAATCCTGTGCCTCAGGGCTTCTGATGAGCAATGTCATGTTGAGACTGAAACTTTGATGGAATTCATGGCAATGGTCTTTTTTCTGGGAGTATTTGTTAAAAAAAAACACAAAATATTGTTAGTCACAGCTGAGAAGATCCATGTATATAGCCTTGGAAAAGTATAAACGCACCGTAAACTTTTGTCATATTCCAACCATAAACGTTTTAGGGGATCTCATGTAATAGGGTGACATAAGGGTCTGATAGAATTTTTAAATGGAGGAAATTACCATAGGCTATATAAAAATACAAATCTGAAAAATGTGACATGCATTATTTGCAGCCCCTCATAAAAAAAGGTTTATTCAAACAACTCATAAGAAATACTGTTGATTGTATGTACTGAGATCCTTATCTTATTCTTAGCTTATTATATTCCTATATCTTATTTTACACTGTTTATCTGAGAAGGTTGTATGTCAGTTTACTGTGTGGATTGTAATTTTATTTACGGTATGTTAATTACTTATTTTATTCTGTCTTGTTATATCATATTTTATTTAGCTGTATTATACTTCTGTAAACGGCTCTGCAAGAAAATAATTTCCTACGAGGGATTAATAAAGTAATTCTAAATCCTAAATCATAGCTGAAAGAATTTTCATGTGTGTCTCTACCAACTTTGCACATCTAATAATTTGGAAGTTTTGCAGATTGTTTTTTGCAAAAGCAACTCAGACCTTGGCTAATTGCATTCACAGTTTCAGTGAACTTAATTTTTGAAGACCTTTTTAATTGTCTTTAGATCTAGACTTTGACCAGACCTTTCTAAGAGGTAAAAAAAAAAAAAAAAAAAAAAAAGGTTTGATCTAAACTATTCCATTTGGATTTTACCTGTATGTTTAAGTTAGCTTGTCACAAATGTTTTACATTACCTATCTTTCCATGAGGTCCTACCATCATACAGCATGATGCAACCACCATGTCTCCCCATGACATGGTGTATTTATTGTAGAATGATGTGCAATGTTAGATAACACTACAAACAGTATGTAGGCCAAAAGGTTACATACTGTATCTGTCTGGCCGTGGTGTGTTTTCATCCTGTGTTGTGGTAAATTTAAAAAGAAAATTCTTACATCTTACTTTAAAAATGTATTTATGGACTTTATGTCCGGAAGTTCCGTTTTTTAGCTCATAGATATTCAAGTCTTAACAACAGATTCTCTAACCTGAGATATGGATCTCTGCAGCTTCTCCATATGAACCATTGGGCTTTTGGCAGTTTCTCCAAGTGATAATTTGATTATAATCTTTGCTTTTCCTCTCAGGCTTTTCCTGTCCTGTTTGCTCCTCGTTTTGTATACACTCTGCGTATACAAAATGACAATAAAAGTTGTCTAAGTCTACTGCTCTAAAGTCCAGCGACAAGTGCTTTAATCCATCTGATGCTCTGAATTGTACTTGGTGATGTAAGACTTGGATACAACCTCTTTGCTATGGAAACCCATTCAAACCCCCTTTATACTGTTCTTGAACAATCTGAGGGCTAGATGAAATTTGGAGATCTGTAGTGATTGACCAGGCAGAAAGTTGCCAACCTCATGCAGTAGCATCCGCCGCAGTTTACACGGCCTATAACTTGTTGATGGAGTTTCTGTAATTTCAAGCATCGTTCACTCTTTGTATTATGTTATATTGTCACTAACAGGTGACTGTGAAGAAAACTGAACGTCTGTAACATCCTGTCACCACAAAGGAATTTACTGAGCTTTTACGAGTGACATAAAAGCAGTCAGCATTTCAAGGGGCTGGATTTTTTATACCCATGGCCTGGGAAGTTACTGGAACATCTGATTTCAAATATTTGGATCGGTGAGCCATGTTTGGCACTATATTGTGGTTCTTTGTCTTAATGACGTTGTGAAGTCTCTATGAATTCTCTCAAAGCTCTTTACACATAACAGATGGATTCATAATAAAACTGAATTTGACACAAAATGACAATAAAACAATCAACTGCGAACATCTGGTAAAACCAATCACTCCTTTTTATTGCCTCTCATTTCATTTTATCTTTTAGCTGCCATCCTTGCTTGGTTTAGAAGGCAGATGGTTGCGCTGGATTTTACTCAAGAGGTTTGAATAAAAATGCTGGGTAAATCTTTTATTGTTTGTATTGTTTTATTGTTCAACATTTTGTGAACTGTGAATACTTTTGCTACCAATTCACAACGAGGCTCTAAATTGTTTTGGTATGTCACATAAAATTAAACTTCAGATAGATTTAGTGAAAATGGCAGTTTTAAAGCAACAAAACTTTGGCAACTGAATTAATTTTTTCCCCTTCTGTGACTGTTATGAAACAGTTGGAGCTGAGCCTCAGACTTTAAATAATAAGGCATAAAACAATAAATAAATATTTACCAGAAAAGTTACAGAACCTATTTGAATTAGAAGAGGATAACAGCAGATGGATTGGATTTTAAACCCAAGTTTGGCGGTTAACGTTAAAAACAATGTGTATTTCTGTTGCTGGTTATAAACTATGGAATTATCAAAATGTCACCCTGGAGAGTTGTACTAGTATTTTTCATTTTAAGAAAATAAAAAAAAAGCTAAAATTAACATTTATGCGATGGGAGATGAAAGAAATTGATGATTTATATTTGTATGTTTAATATCTTTCTTCTATGTGAATGATTTGACATGGGGCAGGGGTTACAAGTTTATCTTCCTCCTGCTACTTTTCATTTGTGGTGTTTAATGATACCATATTTTATTAATTGTATTTGGGTATATGAAAGAAATAAAACAATAAAAAAAATCCAAACAATAAATAAAAAAGGACTTTTATTTTGGAGGATATCTTTGTAGCCTTTCTGTATCTCTATCCAAAAATGGTTTTGGGTCACTTATAACACATTAAGTGGGAAATAGATCCTTGTCCGCCTTTAAGAGACTGTCAACAAATAGTGTGCTTGAAGGCCTGTAAATGCTGAGTTCAACTCAGAGCGCCGTCCTGTCAGCAGACAGATGGTCGGTAAATTACTCTGCAGATTGGGGATTACAGAGAGAAAGACATTCATTTAAACCGATGGGGCATTAGCTCATAGACTGTGAACACAATGACCTTTATCATTGCTTTCACATAGAAAATCCTCTGTGGGTGACATTTACAGTTTAAACAGATTGACAGTTTTCCCTGTTGGGAAGATGGAAAATTAAACCACTATTTATCATTATCGTTATTCATTTGCTTCTAGTTTCTGTGCTGTTGGCTTAATCCATAAAATTATTTAAAAGCTGGTTCACATGTGCAAAGGCAAGTGCAATTATGTAAAAAGCTCTTACCCACATCATGGAAAAAAAAAAAAGCTGCTTTCACACTTTTTTTTATGAAATGTCTGCTGATGGACGAATAAGAGACATCAAAGGAGTAAAGTTCCTCCGTGTCCTCTGATGATTACCTTTGTTTTCCTGTGTTTCACAATAACCTACAATTTCCACATGGCTCTTGACCTCTAAATGTCACACAACATTTCCCCTCTTTCTTTTTAAGTAGTTTATTTCACAGAGAAGCACAGTTATGTTTCTATTGCTCAACATGACTATAAGAGGTAGATTGTCTGCGTCAAGAAGGAAATTGCTTAACTCTGCCAGGCATAGAGAAAATTGAAGATGATAGTTGCTGTTTTTGTGCTGAAAATATAAAATAGTTTGACATTTTTTATGTTTTCTAGAAAACATTGTAAAAATTTTGAGACAAGTAATTGACTTATATATACATATGTAGTTAGCCGCTATCATGACTAAAGCTGTCAGTGACTTGATCTGAACAACTCAGAGTAGTTTCTTCCTCTGAAAGCTGTATACATATCTTCCCATCACTTCCATTATGGTTTTCTTTTCTTTCCCAGTTTTCAGGATTTTCCGCCCAATTTCTTCTTCCTCCTCTCACGCTCTCTTGTAAGCCATCCCATCCTATAATTTCCTTCTCCTCCATGTTGATGCCCCTCTCTCTTTGCATCTCCTCGGCTTCCTGTGCTATCTGTTGACTGTTGAGATAGATGCTGCTGTGAGAGACCATGACGGCAGTGTCTCTGCAGGGCAGGTGAGCATCCACTTCCGCATCTATCTCCAAGAAGGCGTTGGAAGGAGGAGTAAGGTGGTCTGCCTGCAGATCCTGCTGCTTGTTGCGTCCTTGTCCCTGGCCTTGCAGGTGACGGTGTTTCTTGCGTTTTTTCGCAATCTTCAGATCCAGCGAAGCGTAATTCAGGTCAGGCTCTACAGGCTGTTTTTAAAAGGAAATATGTTAGCGTGAGATATTTTATACATCTTTTTTTTTTTTTCTCAGACACGTATCTATTTTTATAAAGCCCATCTTGCTTATTTTTAGAACACTTTGTTCTTGTCTGTGTTCACTGGTTTGCAGTTTCAATGACCACAATGTGTACAAACATGCTAGCTGCCTTCCGTTCTGAAACCAAATCTGTCAGCATGGTCTTAACATGTCACGCATTTCTATTTTTGCATAAATTTTTCAACTTATATAAAATGCAGTGAGACATCTATTTTTTTTTTCCGTGCACAAACAAACAGCTATAATAAGACCGGTACCAGCATGTCCATGGGCTCCGACCAGCTTCGCTGTTCCTGCAATAAAAACCTTCCCAAAGCAAGACACTGCCATCACCATGCTTTACAGCAGGTAGAATGTGTTAACAGGGACTTGCAGCTAATTTCCCCCAACATATTTTTTTTAAAGATGTGTAATAGATCTTTCAAAGCCCTAACCAGCAACTCCACTGTTTCATTATAGCTGCTAACCTCTAAAAATTACGATAAGCACAGAGCTTTAAAGGACTTTTCTGGACAAACCATATGAGAATCTGGTGTCAAATTACGTATTAAGCATTTTCGCACAATCAGCGCAATAATTAGGAATTTCTGTAAAATTGTTTAAGAAATTTAAATGTACACAAATCTTCTCTTAACTAAATAGAATTTTGGAATTTTCTAAGTCTCACATTACAGTTGTAAAAATGGTCTGATCACTCACAGTATGCTTTGTATTAAAAATGAGTGATTTATAAAGTGCAACACACAGATACCTCACCAAATGGCATATTTTCTTTAATCTTCAAATTTTGAATGTTGATGCATAAAAATCATCCTTATCTATATGAATATTTAGTCACATATATATAATTTCAATTTAATAGTTTATCTTTTGGAAATGGTTATGGGTCCTGATATTTCAATTGAATGAATGTTTAATGCAAGAACAAAATAATAAATTTATCATTACCACATACTAAATGTATTTAAAGTCATAGCTGGCTTTATGGAGAAAAGGTAAGATATTCTTCTATGGCAGAATTTGTATTTTCTTGTTCACTTTTTAAGGTGCGAGTAAATGTAAATCCCTAATTACAATTTATCGATATGACACAAATGTTGTCCAATAACATTACATTAAGTCTTCATCAGAAATAAAGTAAAACACAGAACTAAGGGAATATAAAAAGGTAACCTTTCACATTGAAAATATATTTTCTGTTTTTTATTTCTAAGGTATTATTCTCTTTTCCTGTGACTGCAAGACAAAAGCAATCATGCTTTCTTTTTCAGGGTTAAAGAAAAACAAAACTAAGGTGAGCTGAACCAGCATTTTAATGTCCTATTAAATTGTTAGTAGAAAGACCACAGAATAAAATATTTACTGCTTTGCAGCAGAATGCCACTGGAGAAGAAACTACAGAGGTACACATCCTCATGTCACCGTGAGGCTCCTCGGAGCACAAGAAGCTCTGGTAGGTCAAGTAAAAGTCAGTGTTTTCATGACAAATTGTCGGCATCAAAAAGCAACATGAATGCAGTAGATTAAGTCGACGCAATGTCAGCCAAGTGCTAATACGGCTCAATTGAATTAACAAAAGCCCAAACAATGTCAGGCAACATCAGAAATGCTCATTATGCAGATTAAGATACAATGAAGCTGTTGGAGAAATGCCTTATGGCTGCTTATTTCTGACTCTTTGCAGCAGCTTTGCCTTGATCTCTGAAACTGTGATTATCCTTTTTAATTTTTAATAACTCAGAACAAAGATAATCCATTTTGAAAACAATTTTCAAACTGCACTTACCTTTAGGCAATCTCTACTGCGCGGCATGGACATCGTCTCATAGCAAGCATCTGCAGAACCTGCCATTACACACATTGTTCAATTATTTTGCTGTCTACTTATGAAGCTCTACTATAAAGACAGTTAGGAAAGCACATATTTGAAAGTGGGAGTAGTTCATGCATGAACAGCACTGTAGGTGAGCTCCTTTGTGTCTAATTAGTTATTTGCTTTCAAAAACAGCTTTAAAAGTTTGATAAACGGAAATAGTTTTAAAGAATACACCATATTGTACGAAAAGGGAAAATTTGTTGGTTTTGTGTTTGCCGCAAACTAAGGTGCCTTTTTATGCAGAAAAACATGGAATAAAAAATTGAACTTTTCCATTTTCTATAGACAACTCTAGTAGAGAAGTTTGAATTTCCAAATGTGCTTTAAAGAACTCGTCATTTAACGCATAATAATCCACTTTTAGGTCTAACCTGTTGTTGTATTTTATAAACGAACTAGATATTATGAAAACTAATTAGTAAATGAAATACTAGTTAAAAAAGTAAAAAAAATAGACTATAATTCAGATTCCATAATTCAGATACCAGTGTTATCAGCCTCCTGCCATATTATTTGAAAGTCTATATACACTATAACTTTACAGCCTAGTCACTTGACATGCAAATAAGAAGAGGAAAACTTTTCAAGGTAAAACTTTTTTCTCTTTTTGAAATGCTCTTTACCACTCCTACACTGAAACTTTGAAAAATAAATTTTCTTTAAAAAAAGCATCTTTAAACAGCTTATGCCAAACCATTTTTTCCTTAGATTGAGTCATACATCAATAAACACAGTCAAAGATTTCCCCTTTCTTTTTAAAAGTAATGAGAATGGAGAGCTTACCACGTCTTTCTGTGCTGATGTTGCCATAGATTGGATTTTCCTGTCGCTCTTCTTCATTGTGGGGATTTTCCTGCTGCTCTCGATGACTGATGCCACTCAAATATTGTCCTTCATCATTAAACAGCCTGCAGAAATGAAAAAGCTCAATTTTAGACTATGTTTTGATTCTAAAATTTGACCAACAGTTTGATAGTCGGCAAAAAATAAAATGAACAGGTTTGAAATCTAATTGCATTTTTCACTGGTAAATGTTATTCCAAACAAAATAAGCAACAACATACGCTTCTTCTGAACTGTGAAGATGGCAGCAGTTATGTGGTTCTGCGTAAATAAAAAAGGAAACAATTTATAAAACATTGGAAATGGAAATAAAAACACAAACATTTTATGAAAAAGACAACCTTTAATTTACCTTTGCACCAAGTGTCTTTCTGTCTCATACAGAAGGTGATGTTGAGGCACACGGAGATTAACAAGGCCAGACATACAATGACCAGGGCTACATATGCACCTAGAAAACAGAAATCATAACATAACCTAAAAAAAAATTGCATAAAATTCTCTCAACATACAAAATCAAGAACTCTTCCTTTTCCTTTAATTCTTTTTAAACTCTCAAAATTAAAACTTCAGTATTTCCTTTTAATCCGGTGCTAAAAGAATACCGTACAATATTTCTGAAAACACACTACAAAAATGTTTCTTTTGACAAGAATGTTTAGAATTTATTGAAGTTTTCCTCTCTCTAGTCTATTTCCTTATTTTAATGGCACAAAAAAACTTTTTTAATAAGCATTCCTACATTAAAGGTCAAATTTTTATGGCAAATCTGTGTTTTCTTAAGTAAATAACTTTCTATAGCTATTTTATTTATTTATTTTTAAACCTTTAGTCTTTTCTGTGACCTTGTGTCCCAAAGCTTCTCTACATTTGCTCCATTTGTGATCCGGCCTGTGCGAGACTCACGCTGAGTGTTTAACGTTGGTATTTTTCATATATAATAATAAGATATTAATTTTTCTTTCTACTATCCACATTTAAAACAAATGTTCTTACCGTCGATATCCATTTCTCCAGTTGCCCTAAACTAAGCTGGGTGTCTGTTTGACACAATTTTTCTCAGGCTACAGGGCATCACTGCGTTCCCTCAGTGAGGTGTGCTACAGTGTTGTCTATTTTTACCCCGCCTCTGCTCCCTCTCCGCTTTGACGGCGTCTTGAAACTGGCTGCTTTTCAGTTACAAACAGGAAACAATGTAACCTCATTTTGAAGCAGAACATCTCAATGCCATTTTGGAGTGTGGGGGGGTAACAATGCAATTTGAATGTAGATATTTGATCATGTTTTAACAAAATGGGACATTCCAAATTGACACTTGAGATATTTACCAAACCATACAATTGTTTATACGTTAAAGTAGACTGTTTGTTAGAAAAAAGTTTTTACTGTGACGGTTGCTGTCTCAGGGTGGGAGTCACACATCAGACCAGAACTCACCCTTGTTCCGTAAAATACAATATCACTGTTTATTGTAATACAGCAGTGCAGAGATGTATGATTCCAGAATTGAGATCCTGCATTAACAATGGCTTGTGGTTTTCCTACCATGTTTGGAAAATCTTTTTTTAAAAATTACTGTTGAAAGCTTTCTCTGTATCTAAAACTGATGTAAGAAAATGTGAGTGAGCTATTAATCTGTGCAGCTTACATTTAATTTGGACTGGAAAATGCAAGAGCCATTTGGAAATGTCTGAATTAAAATATAGGATTTGAGGGTAAAAATAAATAAGAAATCAAAAAAAAAAAATCTGTTGTTCTATATTTAGTGGTGAATATGTTTGGTGGCCTCTAACTTAAATGTGGCTTGAGGTTTTAGCCCTGCTTTGTCAATATAAGTGTCACTCTGTGGTAGCTGTGGACAACAGCGGTCTTTGATACTGGGCTCCTCATCCTCCATCTATCGGCAACAAAAGCAGAATCAGAAAAGCCCACTCAGCTTTTGAAATATAAATGTCACAATCTCCATGATCAGCCAGGAACACATCCTAGAAGAACAAAGGTCAATTATGTTCAAGAGCGGTGTGCTGAATGCCCCTTAATGATTCAGAAGTGATATTAAAATGTTGTGATCTGTAGTTTTAAATACAGCAGTAAGACCCACCTAGACCAAGACATTTTGGTAATCAGAATTGCATGGCAAAAACACATAATCAATAACTGTTTATAATCCTGAGTCCGTACAACAATGAGCTTTGAAACAAGATTTCAAGAATGTCCATTTCGTCCAAGAAAATGTAACTAACAGCAAACTTTCTTAACTAAAATTTTGGGAAAAAAATGGAAGTTTAAAAATGGCTCTATGATTATCAAACACTATGATTAAAAGCAGGTTTCATTAGAAAAGGTTGCACTACTGCATGTTAAAATTGTTAAGGCACCACATTGGAAGACAGACAAAAATTGAAATTAAGGAAGTTAATTGAAGGGGTCATAGAATGCAAAACCAAGTTTACATTATCATAGATAAAAATAACGATAGTTCAGTGGGTGAAATAGACGTAAAAAGAAGTTCAAACCCCATCTACACCTCCTTTCTATGCAAATCTCACAATTCTAAACTTCCACTATAAAACGGGCGAATTCAAACGAAGCCCCGAGTTGACATAAACTCAGGGATGGTGCCTTATTTGGTTCTGGCCTGTACTTGGCCCTGAAATTGACGTACAGACCAGCCCACTGGTTCACAGCCCAAGAACATGAATAGAGGTAGATGTAAGACACCAGTTTAGCTATTTAGACAACAGTTGGGTTTACTCCTACAAGAATTACTGTACAAAGCAGGCAGTTTCTCTATTGAAAATGAGCCAGAACCACGGGCGTAAATGCAGTGTTCCAGGCTGCATGGAGAAAGGGGACATTTTTCAGTCTTCCCAAGAATCCGAAGACTCGACAAGCACAGATTATTTTTGTGTATCAGAAAATCCTTGCAAAGTTTGATGCTTAGCTGTTCATTTGCTCTAAGCATTTTACCAAAGACAGCTTTCAAAATCTTGGACAGTTCAAAGCAGGATTTGCTAAACTATTTTTACTGAAACCAGGGACTGATCCGACCGTAAGGCCATCACAACCGCAAGCTGAAAGTATGATTCTGTCACTAGGCTGTTGATGGCAATGCTGGCATATCTAGGGTGACCAGATTTGGGTTTCTGCTGCTGGGCCGCTGACTGGACCAGACCTCACCAGAGAGCCATGAGCCGCCCGTCCTCAGTCAGAGGAGGGATGCCGGGGGCCGCCGGTGTCCAGGTTACCGTCACTGGGTAGGGTCCGCTGGCTCCCTGCCCCCGTCCGCTGGGGTTCAGGGACCAGCTCTGGAGCTGACGGCTCGCTTTGAGTGCCCAATGTTTTTCGACTATGTATGTATAAATATATATATATATATATATGTATATATATATATAAATATATATATATATATATATATATGTGTATATATACAAATAGAAAAAAAGCATCAGTAAGAAAAATAAATATAAAATCCACAGAGCAATGAAGCACAAACAAATACAAATTATTAAAATTCTGTAAAAATAGATGAGTTTTTAAAAAGATTTTAAATCAGGTCAGGTCAGGTGAAAGAGTCTTTCTAATATGGATGGGAGATAGCTCCAGAGTTTCGGAGCTAAAAAAAAAACTCCTTTAAACTTCTACCTTGTTCCTTAGGCTTAAAATGATACAGCTTGTTGTGCATTCAAGAAATATTAAGAAATAAAATCAAAATTCAAACGGATGCTGAAAAAACAGTCCTCTCTGTCACGCTTCTATTGGACAATTGTTCTCTTCATTACTCCATTCTTCATCTTTTTTTATTTTGAAGATTTGCTTCCCCAAAGCTTCTACATTCAAATCTATTTTGCACTAAAAGACAAGCTTAGGATATCACTTCCTAATTGTGTTCTTGATTTGAAATTGCTTTTTTTCTGAGGGAGAACATTCCTTAGACATGATTAGGATTTTTTTTTGTCTTGAAAATATTATCCTTCTTCCCTGGAACAAAAGAAATTGCAATCCATTTCCAAGTTCCAGTCTAGCAGAGGAAATAATGAATAAGCATTTGGCCACATAGGTTAACTTTCCTCCCCCAAATTCATGATAAAAAATGGTTTTGACAGAGATCCTGAAGAGAGACGGGGCTATATTTTAAGGCCAGGCCTTAAGCAAGAAACCATTCAATTTAAATAAGCACTAATAATTCTCTGAAAAAGAGACATGTTTTGTCTACATATAGATTTTTAACCAAATACAAATTGAAACACATTGATCCCCAGTGAATCTGTAAAGAACTTTTCACACTTCCATGCCCCAGTCTTGTTTATTTAAATCACTGATGCCCAGGAAAATAACATTCATATCAATAAGTGTGTAATCGCCTCATTGAAAGTCGTATTATTAAAATAAAAATAAGAAATTCCCAAAAAATATCACATTATAAAAAGTCTGTGTTACCTTTTTTTATGGAGGTTTACTTTTCTGGATGTTTGAGGAAGTTTCTAAGAAGGTGGAAGGTTCATCCTACAGTAAAGAACAAGAACAGAACTATTGATCGGTGGCTTTGCTGCAGAGGGAAAAAAAAGCACATACGGTGTTTCTCTTCTAAAAATGAGATTAAGGTTTTACATGATGGATTCAATTTCCTGTTTGGGAATAAGGAATCATAACAGAAAGGTCAAAGTTTTTACCTGTTCCTTTGCATTCTGAAGAGAAGGACAACTGTAAAACTGAATCCCAGTAAAAGAAAGGACTGGCCTTTACAAGGGATAATACCCACTGGTTTCTAAAGGATTGAAAACAAAAAAAAAGAAAATAATTTTCTTGCAAACATCTTTTTGATATTCTTTGTTGTGGATTCTGCAAACTATTTTAAATGCATTGCAGCAATATAGAGATAATAAATATAACATTTATCATTAATGGACATGTTGCAGGAATATGGTACAAAACCAGAGTTAAATGCTTCTTAAAAATATAAAAAATGTCCACAGAACATTATTGTCCAGGTGCATAGTATTTATATTGTAAAAACACTTTAAAGCACATTTTATTTGTTTATTTTTTTAACTCTTTGCTATTATGTTAGTTTTTTTTTTTTTTTTTTTTTTTTTCAAGGTCCACATTTGTGCAACCATTATTTCTATAATCATTTTGCTGCTGTAACACCAGAATTTCCCCATTGTGGGACAATAAAGGGATTCTCTATCTCTTATTTTTTAACATCGTCATATGACATTTTTTCGCTAGAATTAGATTCATTACTTCATCGCTATGAATACAAGATTTTTACTAGGGTTAAGCAAGATCTGGGGAAAGGTGGGATGGCAATTCTCTGCCAATAGGCAAGGCAAGGCAAATTTATTTATACAACACATTTCATGCACAAGGCAACTCAATGTGCCTTACAGCAACACCGGCAATACAAATATATATAAAAAAATACATATTATATATTAAAAATAGTTAAAATACAGTCAGTCGCCATAGGCAACATTAAATAAGCTTTTTTTACGTCCTCTCTGGGGCTGTTCCAGACCTTGGCTGCATGAAACTGAAACGCAGCCTCACTATGTTTATTGGTGACTCTAGGGACCACCAGGAGACCTCTCCCTAAGGATCTCAAGGCCTGAGGTGGTTCATACGTTTATAGAAGTCAACAAAGTCAGTTCCATGCCCTGGTACAAAGGGAGGACAGAGGGAATGGAATAAAATGGCCCTGTCTAATTGATGTATGTAATAACTCTGGTCAAAAGGTTGGTGGAGAATTATGATATTTACACCTGATTAGTTTAGTTAAAATGCCAAATTTAAACACAGTCATGATATGAAGAAATCCCATACCGTAATACACCAATTATTTTTTTATTTGGAAAGGATTTGCTTTTAACAAGGTTATATGATTATTTAAATCTATCATACTGTGCTGGTAACAACTAACATGTTCTACAATTTTGTAAATAATTGAGGATCATGCAAAAAATTGAAATGTTTTAGAAAAACTAAATATAACCAAAAACTCATGACATGGCAATGTCATGTGGTTGTTTACTGCAAAATCAATTTCCTCCTGAGTTAGAATTGCAAGAAATATATATTAGGGTAAAATTACATTAGACTACATGCCTTGGCCTCATCTTTAATGACAC